CTGCCCCTCCGCTCAGGCCACGCCCCCGAGTGGGCCCCTCTGACAAGCCCCGCCCCATTCACAGGCCCCGCCCCCGTGAGCCCGCCATGGAGGCCCCGCCCCACGCGCATTCTGGGTACGCCCCTTTTCTGGCCCCGCCCACAGCCCCCTCCCTTGTCACGGCCCCTGTCCCAAAACGCTGTCCCGTAGCGATCCCCTCCACCGCCCCCCCAGGCCCCACCTCAACACCCCTACAGTGACTTCCCCCCAGCCCGAGTCACTCCAAACCGCCAACCCTCGGCCCTTCCGGGGTCTTCCCACTCTGGTACCTGGCACTGTCCTCCCACTAGCGTCCTCCGAATTCGCCCCACTCCTCCCTGCACCCCAAAACCCGCCCCTACATCGCCAGGCGCCCCCTGTCCCCGACCTCCCAGTGGCCAACACCCTGATACCGACCAGGGCACCCTCGGGAACTCCGGTGTAGCCCCCGCCGGTGCCCGCTCCCCCGCCCCGCAGCGCTGCCGGCCGGGCTCGGCTGCCCGCGCCAATTACCGGACAATCGGGGCCCCGGGGGCACCGTCCCCCCCTGCCCGCCGCCAGGGCTGGGATCTGCCCGGGCCCCGGGGTCCCACTGCCGCCGCCGCCCGGGGCGGCCGAGCGCCTCGCCAATTAGGTTAATGGGGTTGGCACCGGCACCGGGAGCGGGGGGCACGGTACGGCCGGGGGCGAACACCACTCCGGCCTCAAGTACCCGCGTGAGCGCCGGTTGCGGTCAGCAGACCGATTGGACCCCCACGTGTCACTGGTGGGGGGGATCCGTGCGGGGACACCGGGACGGGGCGGGAGCCCGGTCCCCTGTGTGCAGTGGTGTGTCCCCCGCCCCGGCCCCGCCGTCCCCTGTGGGGCAGAGGCGCAGCGTGCCCCCGCGGCCGAGGTGGGAGCCCGCGGGGCCGGAGCTTTCATCTGCGGCGGGCCTGTCGCCGTGCCAGCCGCGGGCAGCCCGCGCCTTTGATGTGCCACTGAAGCAGCATTGTCCGCGCCCCGCTGGCACCATCGCGGCCGGGAAGACCGGGGGGAGGGCGGGCACGGAGTCGCTCATGCCCCTAATGGGGACGAGCACCCCTCGGACTCGAAACGGGGATGGGGACACGGGCACCTGCTGCACTTAATGGGGACGGAGAGCGGGGCGTGGGTACCCCCTACGGAGTACAGAGATTGGAGCACGGGGCACCCCAGTGGATATGAGGACACGGACACCTACCCCTAGCAAGGACAGAGGTCTGGACACGGGCACCCATCTCTTCCCCCTAGCAAAGATGGGCACCCCACAAATGGACATGGGACTCAGAAACCTCAGTCCCTTTTACAGGGACAGAGGTGGGGGCACGGACATCTGCTGCACCCCGAAGAGGTGATGGAGATGCAGCTGCACTCTTTCACCAGAGGAGCTGAGGTTGAGCTATTGGGCACAGGAAGGTGGAAACGGGGGCAGGACGGTGGCATGCCAAAATGTGGTGCCAATGACCAGCTGAGCAGCAGGCACGGAGTAGACTGTCCTGCCGGGCTGGTGAGTGTAGCCCCCCCGTCCCTAGGGCCAAAGCTGCCCCCAGCCCGGGCCCGCTGCTGAGGAGAACAAGCAAGAAGAACAACCGATGACACTGTCCCACCTGCCCCTCGCCGGGGCACATCCTCCTTCCCGCACCCCAGGCAGGACAGGGGGTACTGCGGCGGGGGGCATCGGAGGGGTATCCCCGAGGGCAGCCGCTGCTCAGCACGGGGTTGTGCTGTGCACTTGCGCGGGGCGACCCGTACTGCCAGGGTTAGGCTGGCACAGAGAGCGGGGACCCCCCCGCCCGGACACCCCCGCCTTCCCTTCCCCCGCCTTGTCCGCTCGGCCGCTCCCGGCCCGCTGCCCGCCTTTGAAACCGCCGGCCGGGCTCCCACGCCCAGCCCGGGCCCCCCGCGCCCGCAGCCGCCGGTGCGTTCCCACCGGCCCGGGGCCCGCAGGAGGGAGGGTGGCGCGGCCGGGGCTTGGCGTGAAAATGATCAAGGGCCGCGGGCAGCGCCGGAGCGCAGCGCCCGTCTGATGCTGCCCGCCCGGAGGCCTCGTCGAACAAAGGCGGCATTGAGGCCCCGGCTGCGCCCCCCCCTCCCCGCGCCCCCCGCCCCGAGCTGGCATCTTGGCGCGACATTAATGAACTCGGCTGTTTGTGTTCCCCCGGCCCCTCTCTCCTCCCACCGCCCGGGGGGCACCGTATATATCCATCCCTCCTTGCCTGCCTCGGGCATTTCGGGGGTTCCCCCCGCCTGCCCCCCTTTGCCCGCCCGGGGATGGAGCAAAGAGGGAAGAGGACACGGGACGCTCTTCTCGGGGCCCGGCTGTTCCCCCCCGTGCTTTTGCTGCCGCTGCTGCAGCTGGTGGGGGGGGCTCCCCTGGGCCAGAGGCTGTACCCCATGCCGGCCAGCATCCTGCAAGGTCAGTGGGGCACAGGAACGGGGTGTCTTTGCGGAAGAGTTTGGCTGGAGATGGGGTGGCTGTAGGAGACGGGACCCTTGGGTTCACCCTAGCGTGCCTGTGCTGCCTGGACTGGGTGTCAAGTGCCGCCAGTGGCACTAGGGGACACAGGGGATGCAGGGCGTGCTGTGGTTTATGCCCTGCGGCACCAACACTCCCCCTGGTCCTAGTAACTGTGCCAGTCCCAGGGGACACTCTGCCACAGCATGGCCAGCAGGAAGGTGGCTCTTCGTGGGTACAGGTGGTCACAGGTAGGGGCAGACGGGGGGATGCACACATAAGGCAGGCACAGGGACACATGGGCACATGCAGGGAGAGGAAGACACGGGCACATGGATTCCGGTACACACAAGTGTGCACTCAAAAGTGTGCACAGAGGCACACCTGCCTGGGCTCACACCCTGTCTCTGTGTACAATAGGCACACAGAGCCCTGGGCATACACGCAGGTGTGCATGTGCCAGTCCCAGCAGGGAAGTGACACCGGTGGCTGTCACTCTAGGTAATGTCAAGGGGTGACAGGCCATGCCCAGCCTGACACTCACTATGGCAATACCAGAGCACAGGCACCAGGCAGGCTGGGGGCATCCCATGGCTGTGGTGGGGGGCAGCAGGGGGGCTCTGGGGGTCTGAGCACCCTGTGTGTACCCATCAGCACTGTCGAGCCGGGGGACACTGGTGCTGGAGGCGGCACTGAGGAGCGCACTGCTGGCACTGGAGCGGGCACTGTCTGAGCAGCAGCGGCAGTGGGGTGCCTGCGGGCTCTGTGCCCCCTGCCTTTTCCCACCTTGCGCCAACACCACCGGCCACTGCCCACGTGAGTCATGACCCCATTACCCCCACTGCCCTGCCCCCAGGACATCCTACCCAAATAGAAACCAGGATCCCCAGCTAAACACCGCCCAGGGGCCCTACCCAAAAACCATCCCATGCCCAGAAGATCCTACCAAAACCTGCACCCATGCCTGGAGGCTCTACCCAAATATTAATTTGGATGCCTAGATCATCCCCTAGAAATCCTATTAAAATGATACCCCAAGATCTTATCCATACTCATCCCCTACAGGCTTAACCTACAGGCTTTTACCAAAACAGTGCCCAGACTCCTGAAACATATCCCTAACTGCTAATGACCCTTCCCAAACAGTTCCCATCATATCCAGATCTTACCAACCACCTGGAGCCCTATCCAAATCATTGCCTGATCCCTTGTGAACTTTTCTGATATTCACCCCAAAAGCATACCCCAGTTCCCAGAAGACCTTACCAAACATGTTGACTCCACAGCCTATTATGCTCCCTTCCCACCCATCCCAAAGCAGAGTCTGGGGTGGCCTGGGCAGAGGAGCACAGGGAGGACACAGTGATGCCCACAGCCCTGCTGTCCTTGCAGCACCAGCTGTGCCCCCTGCCATGCCCCCCAGCTGCCAGGCCCTGCTGGATGCTCAGGCGCTGCCCAAGCTGTCCCAGCGCAATCAGGCACTGAGCCAAGCCTGTGCCCCCTACCAGCGCCTGTGCCCGCCTGAGGGGGCCCTGCACACCTGCGCCCCACTCAGCGCCCAGCTCTGCCGCCACCGCCTCCAGGAGTGCCGTGAGTGGGCACCTGCACCCCCCCAGCTCCTCCCAGAGATGGGAGACCCTACAATAACAAATGGGGTATCCCCAGGGAAGGGATACGGGGTATTGGGGTGACAGAGGGTGTTGGGATGGAGTGGGGAGATGGGGGTGGGAGTATGATAGAGTGGGGGATCTCTGGTGGAATGGAAGGCTAGGAGATGGATCTGGGAAGGGAATTGGAGATTTGGCAGATAGAGGTATTTGGAGGGATGAGCAAATTGGGCTGGGACACTGAGGGGCAACGAAAAATCTGGTGGGAGAAGTGAGCAAGGGGAAACTGGGGAGACTGAGTCACTGGGGGTGATGAGCACTCCCTGGGGTGGTACAGGGGTGTTTGTTGGGGCTGATGGGGGTCTGGGGGCACTGAAAGGAACTAGGGCGATTTGAGGACAGCGGGGCTGTGGCGGTGACTAGGGGGAGATTGTCCCCACATGCCATGACAGCCTATCCCTGCAGAGACGGTGGCCGCAGCCCCGAGTCCTGACGCAGCAGCGGAGGCGGCAATGCCAGGTGAGCCGGGGCGGCCCCGCCGTGCCCACGCCACCCGCCCCCACCACGCCGGCGGGCGCCCCCGGCCCCCGGCTGCCCGCTGGGCCGGGGGGCAGAGGTTAGCGTCGGCAGCTGCCGGGCTGCGGGGTGCCCCCGGCCCTCCGCCCGCTCGCCTCCGTGAGCACGATGAGGCTTGACAGCGCGCCCGACGCGCCTCATCTCCCGCCACCCCCTCCACCTGCCACGGCCATCCCCGGCCACCCGAGCCCACCTGGGAGACGGGATGTCCAGCAGCCCGCCTGCAGGACATCAGACATCAAAGTCATCCCGACTTTGTCCCCCAGGGAGCTGTGGGCGCCGCGGGATCACACAAGCCAACGCCACAGCCCCCCGAGGACGGATCATGGGCGGCAGCGTGGCCCCGCGGGGCGCCTGGCCCTGGCTGGTGTCGGTGCGGCTGCACGGGGAGCTGATGTGCGGAGGGGTGCTGGTGGGGCTCTCCTGGGTCCTCACGGCGGCACACTGCTTTGGCGGGTACGGTGGGAGCAGTGTGGGGATGATGTCCCTGCAGAGGCGGGCACGGGGAAGCACCATCACCCCTGTAACTGGCTGCTCCCCACCCCGCCAGGAACCGGAACGAGCTGGCCTGGACAGTGGTGGTGGGCGACTACGAGCTGGGCAAGCCGGGAGCGGGCAAGCGGGCAGTGCCCGTCCGGCGCATCCTGCCTCACCCTAAGGTCGGTGGACGTGGGCAGCACCCACACCTCCATGTGCCCAGGGGCCCCCACTGACATCCCCGCGTCTCCTTCCAGTTTAATCCAAAGACGTTTCACGGGGACTTGGCGCTGCTGGAGTTGGCAGTGCCGCTGGCCCCATCATCCACCGTCAGCCCCGTGTGCCTTCCCAGCGGCCCCGCGGAGCCCAGCCCCGGCACCCCCTGCTACATCGCGGGCTGGGGTTCCCTCTACGAAGGTAAGAGACACCGTGGGGTGTGCCCCTCTGTGCCCTCTGGGGTGTCCAGCCCCAGCGCACCGAGGCAGAGCAAGGGGTGTGAAAGAGAGGGAGATGGCCGGGCACAGGAGACACTGTAACAGGTGCCTTGCCTGGCAGAGGGACCAGCAGCCGACGTGGTGATGGAGGCGCAGGTACCCCTGCTCAGCCAGGAGACGTGCCGGGGTGCCCTGGGCAAGGACCTTCTCACCAGTGCCATGTTCTGTGCTGGGTATTTGTCTGGAGGCATCGACTCCTGCCAGGTACCACCGTGCCTGAGGGACTGTCAGCACCCCACTTCAAAAATCCCTCGCACAGTGCCGGGCACGTACCGCAGCCCGTGAGTACGGCTGGAGTCCCAGCCCAGCCCAATGCACAGGCATTTCCCCTGCAGGGCGACTCAGGGGGCCCGCTGGCGTGCGAGGACCCCACTTCGCACCACTTTGTCCTCTACGGTATCACCTCGTGGGGTGATGGCTGCGGTGAGCGGGGCAAGCCAGGAGTCTACACCCGTGTCACTGCCTTCACGGACTGGCTGAGTCTCCAGATGGACTGTGAGTGCTGCTGGCTGCACCGCGGGGTCATGGAGATGCCCGGGGGTTTTCAGCACTCATGTCAGTACCGGTTCTCTCACAGCTGCCCCTGGCAGCCGAGAACCGAGCTGTTTCGACCTGCTAGCCTTGGCACAGCTGCCCCCCGAGCAGCAGTCCCCGGAGCGCGCCCGTCTCTGCGCCTTCTACGCCGGATCCTGTCGGGCGCCTCAGGGCCGGGCCACCTGTGCCCGCCTGGCCGAGGAGGCCTGCCATGCCAGAACGAGACGATGCGGTGAGCTGGGGGTCATGCCAGGGCTAGGGTGCAGGGAGGGACCCCATTTCTGACATGGGGCCAGGGCCACATCTCTACCTCTGCGCCCACAGAGCTGCACTCCTATGCCCAGACCTTGGTGGATCTCCTGCGCCAGGCTGGGGACTTCATCCAAAACCAGTTTGATTTCTCCTTCCTCACCCGCACTCTGCCTCAGCTCCTGGGCAAGATCTACGGGCACTTCTTCCCTCCCCGTGTCCGCAGGGATGCCCCAGGTACTCTCCCAGGCTGGACCAGCCCATGCCCATTTGGGGTCCCCTCAGTCTCCCCTATGCTGGTGGATGGAGCACCAGCCCCTTGCCATGGCTTCCCAATAGGGCTCCTCTATCTCTTGTCCTGTCCTTTTCTTGTCCCTGCAGGCCTGGCTGTGGCACGGGGCCAATCCAGCCCCACAGCAGTGGGATCCCAGAGACCCCCCAGCAGGTGAGGTGTGGTGGGCCACAGGGTGAAGGGCTAAAGAGGCTGGGGAGGTGGTTGAGATACTGGTGGGAACTGACTTGCCATTTTGGGGACAGCCTGAAGCATTTGGATCCTGTTCCTGCTGCAACCAGAGCATCCCCCCAGGGTGCCCAGGTGGGGTGAAGAAGGTGGACACTGCCCACCCAGTCTGAGCTCACCCCATTGTGCTTCCAGGTGGGGGGACAGGCGGATGCCTCCCTTTGCAGAGCTTTTTGGGGTAGTGGGACCCCAGTTGCAGGACTGGGTGGAGGCTCTGAGGACCATGGCAGGGGGCAGCCATCTGGTGACAACACAGGACAGGAAGCAGCTCCCAGGGGAGATGCAGCTCTTCCTGCAGGTATGTGGGGAGGGACAGGCTGGGGGACCCCTGTCCTCCCGTGACTGGACCACAAGGGACCAAACACCTTCAGTTCCCATGTCCCCTCCTGACATCCCTTGGTCCGTTGTCCTCTGTGCAGCCACAGAAGTGGCATCTCTCACTTTGCCACCACAGAAGGGGCATCTCACCATCCCCAGCTGAAACCAGTGTTCCCAAATCCAGCCAGTGCGGAGCCAGCCATGGGTCTGACCCTGCAGCTCAGGATCTCACCCGACACAGCCACAAAGCAGTTGCATGTCACCAATGCCCTGTGTGACACTAGCACACCCATGCTCTGCACTCTGCCACCATGCACGTGGCTGTGCCCACGGGTGCCTTGTGGGTGCCCCATCACCCATCCTGTCCCTCTCTTCCCTTTGTCAGGGTGAGGATGTGGTGGAGGAGATGGTGGCACAGGGACGAGCCTTCCTCACCCAGCTGCGAGCAGAGTTGGACCTTGGCACCACCCCAAAAGCCATGGAGCCACAACGGGCATCTGGAGAGCTGGCAGGGACCCTCGTTCCAAGCCATGAACCCCGTGAGCCTGGAGGGACTGGGGGCAATGGGGCAGCAGGGTGTCCATCCACAGGCCAGCTCTGTGTCTGGGCAGTGCCCACCAGGGTTTTACACCTCTCTCGGTGGCAGGGTCTGCACTGAGGGAGAAACGTGAACTGGTGCCCACGGAGCTGCCCAGGGTGGAGGAGGAAGAGGAGGAGGAGGCAGGTGTGGGCAGAGGTAAGCTCCCACAGACCCTATGGGGAGCTAGGTATCCCCATGGGGACGGTGACAAGCCCAGCCTTACCCCCCTGTCTCAGGGCTCTCCTGTTTCAGTGGGACAGTCTTTTGCTGTATTCCCCGCCCTCTGCCCATGCCCCTCTGGCGTCCCCAGAGCAAGGGTGCTCCTCCCTGTGGTGGGGAGCAGCACGGTGCCCACACGATTGATCCCTGATGTCCCCTCCATGTCTCTCCTGCCCATCCCAGGGGCTGCAGCCTGTCCTGGCCTCAACGAGTCGGCAGTGCGGGTGGGTGCGGTGCGGGACCTATATGCCTGGGTGCTGCGGGTGCCCGAGGCAGACCTGGCCATGACCTTCCAAGAGGTGAGTGCCCCATCCAGCCACTCTGAGCCATGCACCCTGGCAGCCAGGCAATGCCATTCCCCAGCCTGACACTGTCCTGCTCTACCCTTGGCTCCCCTGGGACTCACGTTACTGTTGTCTCCCCACAGATCCTGGTGGACTTGGGCTCCAAAAACACCCAGGGACTGTACCGGGCACAGGTTCGGGCCACTGTAGGGGGCCGCCCCACAGCCTTCACTGGTCTTGTGGGGCTGGAGAGTGACTCACTGGCCCGTAGCATGCCTGGCCTTGTCGCTCTGGCGCTAGAAGTGCTGAAAACCTAATGGTGCCCCTGGGGCAGTGTGCCAGCATGGGGAGAGGGCACCAGGGCAGGTGTCTCTTTTGTCCTTCAAACACACTCCACTCCCCGTCTCAGGCTCTTCCACCCTTTTATCTCCAACTGTACCTCAGTCTCTCTTCCCACCAGCACTTCCTTCCCCAGGGTGATATGGCCCTGGTGGGTACCTGAAGTACCTCAGCCAGGAATCACAGTCCTCCTCTCCCCTGGGACCCTCACCTTGGCAAGACCACTCCCACCCCATCTTCCGCAGAGGCGCCTGACCTGTTATTTATTTGTACAGAGAAGGTTTATTTTTCAATAAAGAAGGGTTCTATTTTCCAGTAGCTGGCAAATGTGAAGTGAGTGCTGTGTCACCCAGTGCTGGCTAAGTGGGTGACAATGGAGGCACTTTCCAGGGGAGCTATGACATCCCATTGCATCCCCCTTCCCATCCCCCTGTACTCTGAAGTGATGCCTCCAGCCTTGGTTCCTGCTGTGTCCACCTTGGCACAGACTCCCCAGCCCCCTCCCTAGGGGTCAGACACCCCTCCTGCCCATGCAGCACCCACAGCGCAGCACTGGTGTTCACCCCAGTGACACCCTCAGCACCCCACATGAAACCTCCCGATGCAGGGGCTGAGTGTGCACGGGGTCTGTGATCAGTGGTGGGTGCCAGCCCTGTGCTTGGGCATCAGTGGGTACCCTGGGGACCCTGCTGTGGGGACCCTGCCTCTCCGAGCAGCATCCCAGGACTGCTGAGCAGCAGGAAAGGGACAGCTGCTCCCCGTGCCCAGCAGTGCCTGTGCTGGGGTGCCCAGATTCAGGGTGATGGGCTGACACCTGTGGGGCTGGCAAGACCAGCTGTGCCTGCCCATCTCCCCTTCCCTGCACGTGGCGGTGCCGGAAGAGAGGGGTTGGAGCGGCTCTCTGGTGCCGGTACCCTTCCCCCTCAGCACCTGGCACCATCCATCTCCCACTCCCTCCGGCAGCCGGACATCCGCTCAGCCAGGCCAGGCAGGGAAGCAGCCAGGGCCTGGCACGGCGTGAGGGCACCGTGGGCACCACATGGGGAACCTGCTACTGGCCCTGCTCGGGGCACTGATGCTGTCGGGTGAGCAGGGTCTGGGTCATGGGGTGCCCCGTTGTTCTGCTGCATGGGGTGCCAATGGGTTATGGGCCCCCTCAGTGAGGCTAGTGGGGGATGATGGTGGGAGGGTCCAAACTGGGCACTAGGGTCCCCAGGGCTGCATTTTGGGTATTACCTGGCAGAGTCTGCTCACTGCGTGTCCTTTGTGCTTCTTTTGTGGCTGTGCCACCCAGAGCCACGTCCCTGCCCAGGCTATGTGCTGCCAGTGCACAGTGTCATTGTATCCATGTGTCCCTGTAAGTGCCTGTCTGTCCCCAGTCTATGACCATGTGTCCCTGCACACGCTGGTCCATGTGTGTTCTGTATGTAAAGCCACCTGTGTGCACAGCTCCACCATGTCTGTATCCAGATGTCTCGTGTCTGTGTCCCTCTCTGTGCTGGGTTTCTATCTGTGTGTTGCTCTGTGTCTGTGCCCACGTCCTTGTCCCGTGACCATGTGTGACCATGTGCTCCCACACGTCTGTCATTCCTGCATGTCCACGTCTGGTCCCCTGTGCAGCACAGACATGCAGTGTCCTGGCCTGTTCCTCTCCCCTCTATTCTTATACCACCCTGCCCTTGCCAAGCATCCTTAGGGGGGTGGCACTGGGCCCAGTAACCCCTGAGCCCCCTGGTTTGCCTGACCCCAAACCCTCAGGTGGACTCTGTGTGAACCACGAGGAGCGGCTCATCCACCACCTGTTCGAGGAGAAGGGCTATGACAAAGAGTTGCGCCCTGTGGTCTCCACTGACGAGGTTGTAGATGTCTACCTGGCCCTCACCCTCTCCAACCTAATCTCACTGGTGAGCCCCAGTGGGGAGGGTCCACTGTGGGGTGCCCCCCAGCCATGCCTCCCCCCTATGTGAGGGAGGGTGCATGGGAGGGAACCCTGAGGCTGCTCTCCCAACCCTGGATGCTGAGGGTTGGGGGTCCTGGGCTGTGGGGACACCCTGGCATCTCACTGCCCCATGTGGCTGTTTGCAGAAAGAGGTGGACGAGACACTCACCACCAACGTATGGCTCGAGCACGTGAGTAGGGACAGGTGTCACAGCATCAGTTGTGCCACTATGGGGTGGCCCAGCATGGTGAGGGAGTGAGCTGTGGATTCTCCCTTCCAGGGCTGGACTGATTACCGCCTGCAGTGGAACAAGTCTGAGTTTGGGGGCGTCGAGGTGCTCCGCCTGCCACCAGACATGCTGTGGCTGCCAGAGATAGTCCTGGAGAACAAGTGAGCTGTGCCCTAATTTCCCCTCCCAATCCTTCTGCACTGTTTACAGTGCATGTCCAGGACTCTCCTGGCCCCTTCCCAACAGTGCCATAACCTTGTCTCCCTCTTGGCACAGCAATGATGGGCTCTTCGAGGTCGCCTACTACTGCAACGTCCTCATCTACGACACGGGCTATGTCTACTGGCTGCCACCTGCCATCTTCCGCAGCACCTGCCTCATCAATGTTGATTTCTTCCCCTTTGACTGGCAGAACTGCTCCCTCAGATTCAGGTGCTGGCTGGTGGTCAGGGTGGCCATGTTGTGCCTGGGTGCCTGCTGCTGCCAGCACCTCCCCTTGCTGTTGAGGTGCAGCGAGGTGGGGGTCTGTAGGTGACTTGGTGGCCTAAGTCCATCATGCTGGAGGTCAGGGGGGTTGGGTGGGGGGTACCCAGCAGCCCCTCACTGTCTGTCCCCCCGGCTGTGGTCCAGGTCGCTGGCATACAGTGCCCTGGAGATCAACATGCACTTGAAGACGGACAGTGACCCAGACACGGGGAAGTCTTACCCAGTGGAGTGGATCATCATTGACCCTGAAGGCTTCACAGGTAATGCTGGTGCTCTCTGCCATGTCCTGTGGCAATGGGACACCCTGTAAAGAGGGTGACAGTGGTGGGGGGACGCTTTGGAGCTGGGGTGCACTGCCATAGAGAAAGTTCACTACCGGGGGCTTTGGCATCCTGGCACTCATTCCACCTTGGAATGCTATCCACACCCTGGTGGGGGAGGCTGGTGCTAGTGAACCTGGTGAGGATGGTCATGGCGGGTGTCCCCCATGCTGTGTGCTGTCCCCTGTGCCCTGGCAGAGAATGGGGAATGGGAAATCATCCACCGCCCAGCCCGCAAAAACATCTACCCTGACATTCCCCTGGACACCAGTGAGCACCAGGACATCACCTTCTACCTCATCATCAAGCGCAAACCGCTCTTCTATGTCATCAACATCGTCATACCCTGCATCCTCATCGCCTTCATGGTCATCCTTGTCTTCTACCTGCCCGCTGACAGTGAGTGAGCCCTGTGGCATGTGTGCCAGTAATGGGAATCACATCCATGGGGCACCTCTGTGTCCCACACCTGCACCAGGTCCTGGGGCACAGCAACACCCTAATGCCCAGCATGAGGACAGCCTGGAACTGGAATATCCCCATGCAGAACACCATCACCCCAGCCAGGTACCCTGGCAGAGGTGCATTTGGGCATAGGATATCCCACAAGGGACCCCAGGGTACTCCCACAACAGAAAACCCCAATATGGGGCACTGTATCATGGGACACTGGAAGAGCAAACCCTGCACTGGGGGTTCTGCTAGAAGCACGTGGGGCAAGGTTTTCCCTGAGCTCACCTTTTCTTCAGGTGGTGAGAAGATGACCCTGGTAATCTCAGTGCTCCTGGCCCAGTCTGTCTTCCTCCTGCTGATCTCCCAGCGCCTGCCTGCCACTTCCCATGCCATCCCCCTCATCGGCAAGTGAGTTCTGGGCACCACTGAGTGCAGCAGGGACATTGTGGAGTCCCTTGGTGCCAGAGGGCAGCTCTGCTGTGCCCAGTCCCTGTGGCAATGCTGGCTCCAAGACCATGCTCCCTACCAGGTATCTGCTTTTTATCATGCTTCTGGTGACAGCCGTGGTGATCATCTCCGTCGTGGTGCTCAACTTCCACTTCCGCACCCCCAGCACCCACATCATGTCTGACTGGGTCAGAGAGGTGAGCGGGGTGTGGGCTGGGGTGGGTGCACTGGTGGGTACAAGGGTCACGCTGTACCCCACAGAGGACATGGGACAGCACAGCCCTGGCACTGCATCTGCACCGGATGGAGTCTGTGGGCAGAAAGTGGGGACAAGGTGGCAACACACTGGGGAGGTGGCCAAGGGACACAACACTCCCTGTTGTGTCCCAGGTCTTTCTGGAGAGCCTGCCCCGGCTGCTGGGCATGACACAGCCATCCGAGAGCCCGGCGGGCGCCCCGTGCATCCGGCGCTGCAGCTCGGCCGGCTACATCGCCAAGGCGGAGGAATACTTCAGCGTCAAGTCCCGCAGCGAGCTCATGTTCGAGAAGCAGTCAGAGCGGCACGGGCTGACCAGCCGCATCACCCCTGCCCGTGAGCCACAGCCCCTGCGCAGGGACAGACGGAAGGGTGGAGGGGATGGGGTCTGCAGGGCTGGCAGCTCTTCGGAGCCCATCTCACCACCCCCTCTCATCCCCAGGTTTGGCGCCGCTGGGCATGGACTCAGGAGAGGAGAAGCCCTATGAGCACATCAAACCTGTCATTGACAATGCCAACTACATTGTCAAGCACATGAGGGAAGAAAACAGCTACAATGAGGTGGGACCATGGGCACTGGGGGGGCTGGGGGGCTCCCTGTGCCCACTGTGTCCCCACACTGCCTGGCTCCTGGCTCTCTCCACAGGAGGTCGACAACTGGAACCGCGTGGCCCGGACCCTGGACCGCCTGTGCTTCTTCATCATCACCCCCACACTGGTGGTGGGCACTCTCTGGATCTTCCTCATGGGCATCTACAACCACCCGCCACCACTGCCCTTTTCTGGAGACCCCTATGACTACCGGGAGGAGAACAAACGCTTCATCTAGAGGGGTGTGGGGATCCCA